GCTGCCGTTTCCGAAGCAGATCCTGCGCCGGGCTTCAAGCCTGTGATCGTATGGGAGCATACTACCAGCGACGACGATGATGGCATGGTGTATCAATGGCGCCGTAAGGACTAAAGTCCGAAAGTCTATGAAGATGTAAACGTGGCTATATCGTGGATGATGGGCACCTAGGAGGACGTTTTGTCACTTGTTTTGTACGCAGTATATGATTCGAATGAGAACACGACCCAGATTGAAATGAGCAGATGACGTGGGATGCCCGAGGTTGTATACAATGGATGTTTGAGCCGTTCAGGTTTCGCGAAAGCAGGGTCTCGACTGTGTTCGCGCCAACAACAGTGTGCGCATGGAGGGGTTGTGACAGCACGCCTTAAGCCTGTTTAAGTGTATGTTATCTGGTGATGGCTTGGAGGAAGGAGAAATGCGAAGCTTCCAGCGTGGAGATGTAAATAGAAAGTGGAGCTGCGGAGTTACCTCTTCGTCATTGGATCTTCGCACGCACGGACGCGCCCCATTTCACTTGGGTATGACCCTATATTCGCCTCAACACTGATGTGCGATTTAATAAAGCGAGTGCAAATTCGGCCTTCGTACCTGATGATACGGCAAGGGTATGATACCAGGTCTAGGACTAAGGCTGTCACCGAAAATGTGGTAAAGGTGCTGCATTTCTGACGAGGAAGACAATCTTGGAACGCCAATGAACCCCGAGTAATCTGATGCATGCGCGATGTAGTCTTGCATCTGCACACTGCCCAGGTGCGCTCGCGCCATCCCACACGTGGCAATTTGTGCCGCGGGGCATTAATACGCTGGGATCTCCTTACCTCGTAGCATTCACAACGTACTGGCGCCATGGAACACGAGACACTACTACCTTCCCATAGTGTATCACCTGGACAGGAATGCGATGATTTGGACTACGCGTACGAAGCCTCACCATTCCAATCCACTACTCAGAAGAGGTGCACAAAGGCAAAAATGACGGGTTCCAGATCGTGCATCGTCCTCTGCATAGCAAGTGTACTTTTTGGCTTCTTCGGTAGCTGGCTGTTTTGGATGGAAGTACCGATCAGTTCCAACACGCACACTAAAACAATCGAAACTACATGCACCACACCACTCATCCGTCGGGAGTGGAGAAGTCTGAGCATCGCGGAAAGGGACGCCTACATCGACGCGGTCTTCTGTCTCCGAACGAAGCCTTCGCGACTGAACCCGAATCAGACACTGTATGATGATTTCGCTTACGTGCATCACCGATTTGATGAAGAGAGTAAGTTCGCAGTACTTGTGTAGAGAAAGGACACTTACGAAGACGCTCAGTACACTTCGCTGCACCTTTCCTTGTCTGGCACCGGTATTTCATTCATACCTATCATCGCACGCTCGTGGAACAATGTCATTACACTGGACAACTACCGTACGGCTATTACCACATCAGCTCTTTCGTTTTGCTAACATCATATAGATATTGGGACTGGACTCTAGACTGGGAGGAGCTAACTTCTGCACCGGTATGGGATCGTGACCACGGCTTTTCTGGTAACGGTCTTGAGAGCCCGGAGCCCAGTATGTATTTCCCGCGCACCCATTGCGTCGAGGATGGCCGATTTGGTAATATGCAAGTCGCACGCGCTGGCCCGGTCTTGGTTTCTCACTGCCTGACCCGCGACTTTGGATCGGGAGAGCCGATCGCGAATTTGTCGCAACTGTTGCGACCTGAAGCGGTCGAAGAGCTTCTGCTTGAAGACGACTACTTTCGGTTCACACTGCGATTCGAGAATGGCCCGCACGTTGCGATCCCAAAGTTTATACTGGGGGACTTTCGGCTTTCGACGTCGCCAAATGGTCAGACAAACATAGCGACCACTTTTTGCCGAACCATCTGCTAATGATTAACAGACCCGATATTCTTCCTTCATCACTCGCAAATCGACAGGATTTGGTGGCGGTGGCAACAATACGACTCACCACGGCGACAAAACATGTACAAAGGTACTGTCAGGCCGAGATCAAAACAGCAAGCCAGTCTCGACGATAGGATTTCGATTGGAGGTCTAGCCCCGGATATCAAGGTCTCGGAGCTTATGGATGTACGATCAGGTATCTTCTGCTATACGTATTAGTAGCTCCGCAACTAGACCAACCAATATGATGATGTGACGAAACCTGATCGCTCAACAGTCCTAGCTGAACGCTCGGCTTGCGTATGAACCGTGCTGATGACAGCTGTTCGGCCTAGACACACCATACCGTGGATACGAGGTGATGGGAAAGTGAAGGTAGATATGTCTTATTAACTGATTCTAGCGGGGTATGTCCTTGCGCATGGAGATGACAGGAGCCCTCGCTCACGTTACCGAAGCCAAAGAGCTTGTGCGCACGTACCAGCATTGACGTCACCAGCTTGGCCATCACGAACTCAAACTGCGTCGCGAACTCCGACTATCTTCTGCAACCCAACCGCCGTTTTCTCAAACCTGCTCCCGACTTTCCGTTACATCCTTTCTTTCCTTCAGTCTTATCCATGCACTCAAGTCCTGCTGGCTTCTCGTCATCGATTCGTATCGCTGGCCGTCAATGGTAGTATCGTCGTGACCCTGCAGGTGCAAATACCAATAGAGGACCCCAACAAAGAACCCGCCGCCGACGATGTTGCCAAGTAGTGCAGGAGCGATACCTTTCCAGACATACATGTCGATGGTAATGTCTGGTGAGCCATGGAAGATGGCATTGGGTATCAAGAACATGTTGGCGACGACGTGATCTGATGCAATGTCAGCTAACTGTAAACGTTAACATGAACATGTGGTACTTACCAAAGCCCAGAGATACGAATGCAAACGTTGGCCACCATATCCCTACCACCTTAGAAACATAGTCGCGACCCGAACACCCGAGAAAGCAAGCTAGACAAACCAACCAGTTGGCGCCGATGCCTTTGAGAAAGATTTGGTACCACTCTGGCTCGACTTGTTTCTTGTAGGCGAAGTGAAGCGACTCTTCTCGATATAGCTTTCCATCGAACAGTCCACCATCTATTACAATGAATCAGCCCCAATCTTCCAGGTCGCTGCTGCTATCAGAGACTTACATCCGACGATCACACAACACACGAACAAACTTCCTGCGAGATTCCCAAAAAAGGTTACCACCCAATGCCTCAACATCCGCCAGATGCTGAGTCGTCGATGTAACGTAGCGACGGTTGTGTACATGAAGCTGCCAGTACAAAGGTCGCTTCCTGTCATCTGTACAATGACTAGACCGTACGGAAATACAAGCGCGGCAATCGTCTTGATTAGACCCGGAGCGTTCTCCTGGTACCATGGCGAGGTGTTGGTCGAGATGAGCGTTGCGCATGCGAAAGACAAGATCATGCCAGCGGAGCAGGCACTGAGGAAGCTCTTGTCGACACGCATATACGCCTTCTTGACGCCCATGCGCGAGACTATTTCGAAAGACTCCTGAGGAGTATAGGCATTGTTGGTTGGTTGGTGCATGTTGTGAGCCCGGTGTTGACTTGGTATCGATGAAAGAGTTGTCGGGACTGCATTAATAGGTGTTGCTGTCCCGGAGGAGGGGTTCGATTGGACATGCATTGGCAAGAGGTTATGAGGCAGTACATGTCTTGGTGATGTTGATCTGTGGGCCATGTTCAAGTCGTGGCTGAGGTGATTCGTAACGGAACTCACGACGCTGAGCAGCGGAGCCGAAGCAAAGTAATCAGAGTTTCAGCACCGATGAAGAGACGGAAGTATCCATCAAATTAAATACAGGAAGTCAAGTGTGACTCCTTACAACCACCCATCCCGAAAACCATCCGCGCGATCTCCACAACATCACCGAGGACCGAAACACCTACGGATACAAAGTCGTCCAATTTTGGCGCGCAAACACCTTGCTTATCACAAAGATGACAAAAAGTGCCAAATAGGGAATGCGGTACCGCAGGCTTGCGGCTCAACCCAAGCCCTTGGCGGCTCAACCAGCGTCAATGAGACCGAGAAGTTTGTCGCCAAGGTGTCTGGGCGCAACGACGCACGAGAAAGAGCCGCAACACTACGACTGCACCCGACGGTCGATATAATGGTGATGTGAGGGTGTGAGTAATCGTCTTCAACTTTGGGGCCCCGCACACACTCCGCATACACTCCGCATGTGAAAGAAAGGAGTGGCTGCGCAGGCACAACACAAGGTTGGGCATCATGCTCTTTTCGGGCGACTTTCCGTACCGCTGTCGTGGAGCGCCTGTATAGCCATAATACACCGATCTCGGTGTACTGACTGCGTAACGTGTGTAGTGTGTGTATACAACAATCTTACACGTGGCATAGAGCTCATTTCCTTCGACATCTCGCGCTTTTGCAACTCTCACACGGGTAGTGCATCTGATTTGGCATAGTCGCCGAGAGCGATGTGATTCTGTGCCCAAGATTAGAAAGAAGCTTCTGGGAGACGATCCCGACCGTAGTGGCTTCGAAGCGTGAAGCCTTGGGATCGATTCGCACTTCATCTTGAAAGCGCGGAGTCTACTATTGTAGACGCCCGCCTTCTTGATCCGTTTCCTTACCTTATGCGCTGCTGTAGCTGTCGTAGCTTGAGGATCGCTGCGCGTTTTATTTTCCAATGCTCTTTGTGTACCAAATCGATCTATCTTGCAGTTGCAGAGGGTATCGGGGCAGGGGAGGCGTGTTCGAAGGGGTTGGAGACGACTCCAGAGCGAACAGATCGTAGCTAAAGTGATCGTGATTATGATGAGCGATGACGAGCCTTAAAATCGGAGATGACTCTGGCGTTCGCGGGCATTTTGCGGAGGGTTGATGATGACGGCCTTGTGTGTCCTCGAGGAGCTTAGTGTTATCGATAAGACTAGCGTGAACTGGACGCGTCGACGCGCTCAGTCAATTAACGGCAGGCGCGCCCAATCATCGCCAACTTTTCCCTTCTTCCCTCTGTCGTCCCACCCCGCAATTGCCTTTCTACCGCATATCAACATGGCATCCCGACCGGAAATCAAGGAGGAGGATGAGTCGGGTTTCTGCAAGTTCTTCCGCAACTTGCCTGAGAAGGACGATGAGACGGTGCGCATCTTTGACCGCGGCGACTACTACAGCGCTCACGGCGAAGATGCAAAGTTCATCGCAAATACAGTAAGCACGAACGAGCTCATTGGCGTATGACTAAGATATTGACATACTCTCAGGTATACAAGACGACAGCCGTCATCCGAAAGCTGGGACGGGAACCAGGCCTCGAATCTGTCACCATGACTATCACCGTTTTCCGCAACTTCCTCCGCGACGCACTCTTCAGACTCAGCAAACGCATCGAGATATGGCAATCGACTGGCAAGCGCATGGATTGGAAGGTGGTCAAGCAGGCCTCACCCGGCAACCTGCAAGACCTGGAGGACGAATTGGGAGGTCAGATCGAGAATGCGCCCATCATATTAGCGGTCAAGGTTTCCGCAAAGGCCTCGGAAGCACGCAATGTGGGTGTATGCTTTGCAGATGCAAGCGTACGGGAGCTCGGTGTTACAGAATTCCTCGACAACGACCTCTACTCAAACTTCGAATCGCTGCTCATCCAGCTCGGCGTCAAGGAGTGCCTGATACAAGTCGACTCTACCAAGAAGGATGTGGAGCTGGGCAAGCTTCGGACGATTGCCGACAACTGCGGGTGCGCTGTGGCAGAGCGATCGCACGCAGACTTTGGCACAAAAGACATCGAGCAGGATCTGCCGCGGTTACTCAAGGATGAGCGAGCAGCCGGCTCGCTGCCATTGACAGATCTGAAGCTAGCTATGGGCTCAGCTGCATGCCTAATCCGGTATCTAGGGGTTATGTCGGACTCGTCGAACTTTGGACAGTACCAGCTCTATCAACACGACCTCTCGCAATACATGAAGCTCGACGCTGCCGCGCTGAAGGCACTCAACCTCATGCCAGGACCACGAGACGGCGCCAAGAACATGAGCTTGTACGGACTGCTAAACCACTGCAAGACGCCCACCGGTAGCCGACTGCTAGCACAATGGCTCAAGCAGCCGCTCATGAACGTCGAGGAGATTCAACGACGGCAGCAATTGGTGGAAGCCTTCGTCAACGATACCGAGCTAAGGCAGACAATGCAAGAAGAGCATCTACGGTCAATACCGGATTTGTATCGTCTAGCGAAGAAGTTCCAACGCAAGGTCGCAAATCTGGAGGACGTCGTGCGCGCATATCAAGTCGTCATTCGATTGCCTGGCTTCCTCAGCTCCCTCGAGGCGGTCATGGACGAGCAGTACAAGGAGCCGCTTGATGCAGAATACACGGATAAGCTCCGCCAATACACAACGGCATTTGCAGGTCTGCAGGACATGGTGGAGACGACCGTGGATCTCGAAGCGCTCGACAACCACGAGTTCATCATCAAGCCTGAGTTTGATGAGTCGTTGAAGACTATCCGAAAGCGCCTGGACAAGCTCAAGCGTGACATGGAGTCGGAGCACATGCGTGTGGGCGATGACCTCAACCAAGATACCGAGAAGAAGCTATTCCTAGAAAACCACAAAGTCAATGGCTGGTGCTTCCGACTAACGCGCAACGAAGCAGGCTGTATCAGGCAAAAGAAGCAGTATCAGGAGATCTCCACACAGAAGAACGGAGTCTACTTCACCACCAACACATTACAAGAAAAGCGTCGAGAATTCGACCAGCTCTCCGAGAACTACAATCGCACACAATCAGGTCTCGTCAACGAAGTCGTCTCAGTAGCATCGTCCTACGTCCCCGTGGTTGAGAAGCTCGCTGCTGTCCTCGCACATCTCGATGTCATCGTTTCCTTCGCCCACGTTTCCGTCCACGCACCCACCTCCTACACTCGACCAACCATGCACGCGCGCGGCACCGGTAACACCGTCCTCAAAGAGGCGCGACACCCTTGCATGGAGATGCAAGACGACATATCCTTCATCACGAATGATGTCTCTCTCGTCCGCGACTCAAGCGAGTTCCTCATCATTACCGGTCCCAACATGGGTGGTAAATCCACATACATCCGGCAAATTGGTGTCATTGCCCTCATGGCACAGATTGGCTGCTTCGTACCTTGCTCAGAAGCCGAGCTCACGATCTTCGACTGCATTCTAGCACGTGTAGGCGCGAGTGATAGTCAGATCAAGGGCGTGTCGACCTTCATGGCAGAGATGTTGGAGACAGCAAACATTCTCAAGTCCGCGACGAAAGAATCCCTAATCATCATCGACGAGCTCGGTCGTGGCACGAGTACATACGATGGGTTTGGTCTCGCATGGGCCATCTCTGAATACATCGTCAAGGAGATCGGCGCTTTCGCGCTGTTCGCTACGCATTTCCACGAGTTGACTGCGCTGGTAGACACATACCCACAAGTCCAGAATCTACACGTCGTGGCACACATCTCTGAAGGTAGTGCCCCTGCACCCGACGCCGACGGAGACGCAGACATGGACGCCACCGCCGTGCAAAAGAAACGCGAGGTCACCCTACTATATAAAGTCGAACCCGGTTTCTCCGACCAGTCCTTCGGTATTCACGTTGCAGAACTCGTTCGCTTCCCACAAAAGGTCATCAAGATGGCAAAGCGAAAGGCCGACGAACTGGAGGATTTCGCTGGAAAGCACGAAGAGGGCTACGTTCAAGCCAGTAAAGAGGAGGTCGAAGATGGAAGCCGCATGCTTAAAGAGGTGCTGTTGAAGTGGAAGGAAGAGGTAGAGAGCAAGGGCCTCACGAAGAAACAACAAGTCGAGAGGATGAGGGAGCTGGTCAAGGGGAACCCGGAGCTTATGGCTAATGGGTTCTTCAAGGGCATTCAGGCCTTGTGATTTTGAGTATGCAAGGCAATGGCGTTTCGGGATATAGCAAAGCTCTGTACTCGGGCAAGAGATCCGTTGTAGCTTTAGTCAGATTCGTGAGCGTATTAGCATGATACCAGTAATTTACACGTACCACAATCCATGGTTCTCGGTGTAGCGATGGAAGATATCCGACAGTTGAACATGGGAAGCCGTACAATGTGATACCATATGGGAGGGTTTTAGAGAACAGGAGCTTTCTGCATCGATAGCATTGCGCGCAACTCAGCAGCTGGCTATCTTGAAGAGTAGGAGGCTTGAATCACGACCATTACTATCGTGCGCCGTTCCTTACATTTGGACTCATCTCCTTGGTACTGTGCCAAAAGTCTTACTCTTAACATGATTCGTGCGCAGTCTGAGTACTCCTACCAGACTCGTCCTTGATGCGGAAACCTTAGATAGAAAGTCCACTGAATTCCAGGCCAAACAATCAGTTCCTCATTGTCATCGCATCACCTCTTCAACTCCGCAAACCTTCTCGAGAGCTCATCCACATCAGGAATCTTGCCCAGCCCATCCTCCTTCTTCGCCGGCTTCTTCGTATTCGCCTCGCTCTTCGCTACTTTCGCCGCCGCACTGCCCGGTAACTTCAACCTCGGCGCTACATTATCCGTACTGGGGCTGGGCGGAACGACTCGCAGCGGACTTTGCGGGCCCAGCTTTTTGGGCGTCGAGGCTTTCGCCAGCGCTTCCCTCTCTTCTGCCTTTTTGCTCGTGCTGTCGTCGGTCGATATGGGGTCTTCGAGATCAGCACCTGCTTTCTCTGCTACGCCGCCTGATGGCTCGTCGTCGTCATCGTCCTCTTCGTCCTCTTCGTCTTCACTCTTGGCGGTGCCGTATGGTACGCCGTAGAATCTCGCAATCTCCGTCATGTATGCCTCTACCAGCTCCTCCTTCGGTGTCTCGACCTTCAACTTCTTCATCACCCGTTCCGCAACACCCTCGCCTTCCATACTAGCCACCGCGACATCCTTCCCGAACTTATCCACCAACAGCGCCCTCACGGTATGCAGTTCCTTGATCTCGGTTCGCGGCGCGGCGTATATTATGCTACGGACGGCTTCTTCTAGCGCGGGGTCGAGGAGGGTGGAGGTAGATGCGGAGGTCGTGTTGGAGGAGGAGACTTGCGATTCGAGGAGTTGGGAGCGCGCGAGGAGAAGTTCGCAGTAGAGTTCGAGGATCTCGTGCAGTTCGGTGGTGATGTCGGTGCGGATTATGTTTTCGACGCGTATACGCGCTGATTGCACTTTGCCGACCTATGTAGAGGTCAGTTCTGGTTATGTAGAGGGCAACGCGGTGATGTCTGGATACGCGCGGTTGCCTTGCGCCTGGGCGAGGCGATGCGACAATTGCGTGCAAGGAGCTGGCGACGTACCTCGATCAGTTGCGCCATCTCTCTCCTCTGCTGTTTGACTTTGGCGCTGTCTTTCTGCTGGACCATGCGCAGTCGCGATATTGACAGCTTGAGCTGTACCTTGAGCTTGTTCTGCCCCGCATTAGCTGGCAGTCGCGACAGCCGTGTCCAGTGTCGCGATGGAACGTACGACTAATGAGACTGAAGGCGCCATCTTGTCTGGTCGGCGATAATCTCTGAATACGTGTGGTAATTGCGATTACGGCGTTGTTGATTGTCGTGTCGGCGTCTGGTGTTGGCTGGAGCTAGTGGTTGGGCTGGGACGTGGAGGCGGGACACGCGCAGGCGTAGGGATGTCTTGGTGGGGTTCAGCGGCTTGGATTGTGGCGGTGCACTGGGCTGATGACGTCTCGCTCAAAAAGAGATGGTCTATTCGAAGCACCGATTGGCTCTCAAACTCTATGTATATCTTCATCATACACACCGGGACCCGTTGTCTCGAAAAGCAGCACCTTGCATATTACCTCCACCCTGGTACCTATCGTAAGATCAGATTAGCGTCACAACTTTTGTGTCCATCTCTTCAAGCATCTCTATGAAACGAGTGTTGTACTTGTCCATAAGTCCGTCGACGTCGTGTTCTGTCACATGCTCAATGTCTCCTTGCCGATGCCAGATAGCCCACCACCCAGCGTAATGCAGTTCAACGATGCCAAGGCGAACGTAGCAATCTGAATGATCTGTCTCCATAACAATCAGCGCATACTGACCACCATATCCCTTATATGGCCGGTCATTTCGAGTGAGAAACAGGACATGTAGCTGCGTTGGAATGTCATGGCCGCGACCCCAGCCTACATCATCCCATCTTGGGTTGTCATGCATCATTTCGCTTGATTCTGCCGATAAGCTTTCATACATTGCGTCCTCAAGCGAGATTTGCCCGTCCTCTTGGTGCCGAATGTCGCAGAACCTTAACCGTGGGCAGCGTATAGTGATCGCGGCTTCAATGACTCTACCAGACAGGAGGGGTCCATCCACTGCGTACCGCACCGCAAGGACTTCAACATTGGAAAGGACTTTTTGGGCCCCCGTCCATGTGACATGTCTACTTGTGGATGCCCACGACCAAGTAGGTATGCTTCCAGCCATGCGCCGTTTGACTGCAGCAAGTTGGTTTCCAGTGTATCGGACTGGCGCGCGAGCAAGGTGCCATAGCATGTCAACACAAAGACTCGATCGCCATAGTCCAGCCATATATTCATCATCTGGTCGAAGTGTTTGCATTATCTTTGCGATCGCGGCGATTGCTGGCAAACGGTCCTTGCTGTATGTGAGGCTTCGCCTAGTGTACAACTCCACCATCACATGCCACACGTATGTAAGATCCGGATCCTCAGACTGAAGTTTTCCTGTTGTACGAACTGTTGTCCTCAGAATCCCAATTGATCCTGACGGGACCCGATTTAATTTTCGACTTTGGGACCTGACTGCATTACGACATTGCCATATCATTTCGTTAGGACCAAAATGTACCACGCGGGGAGATAGTACAAGCTCCTGGAAGACCCATGCCCGCCTTAACAGTGGCCATGTATCGTCGTCCGCATCCGTTGTAAACCGTACATATACTCCTTCATGGCCTGGAAGCGAATCTCCCACAAACTTTGGGTCCGGTGTCCGAAACAACCCCTTTGTAGCATTTTCAGAGGCCGATGCAGCGACTGTGAGAAAGGCGTTCGCATAGATCTCAGCCATCTTTGCGGATTGGTTACGCCAGTCTTCTTCACTATCTTGAATTATACACAAACTATCGATCCACAAGTATGAGATTTTCATGACTTGGCAAATCTTCACAGTGTCTCTGAAGGTCGCTGGAAGTCTGCCCACAGGGATGCCTGCGTCCGAGTGGTCATGGAAGTTGGCGACTGTTGTCCGAAGAATGCCATCTCCGTCTCCCCAGCAGTGACTCAGACAGATATAATGCGTGGAGCCTATGCCCTCTAGAAGTAGCAGTCTGTTTTCTTCGATTTTCAGGAATCTGGTGCCTAGACGACAGCTGTCGGGTGTACTGATCATGGATTTCGCGCAATGATCGTGGCTCGCCACACATTCACCTAGCCAGTTTTGAATGGCGAAGAAAGTGCCATCTGAGCCTGTCGAATCTGGCAGTAGTTTGCCTGATGCTGGAGAGTCCGCTGGAGTAGTTAGTGAGTACCCTTTGACTACTGTCATCTCACATACCATCAAGATCAAACACTTCTACGCCAAACGATCCTTGCACTCGGACTGATTGGAAATGAAATAAACCGTAGTGATTATTGCCAAACCAATCGCCATCCAGAGATAGTCGGGCTATAGCCCACTTTACGCAAGCCAGTCGCACACGAGATAGTGGACATTGACGCCCAGCATTTGCTCGCAGGTCGTGAATCGATTGAAACGGCTCTCCACACTTTTCGCACGTATGCCCGTCGCGTACAAGCCTGAAGTCTTGACTTTGCAAAGCCATCGTCAAAAGGGTCTACAGCTCGAATGGACCCCTCCAAGTCCATAGGACGTGACCCCGATCTCGACCGTTTTATTTTCCTTTGATATTGACTAAAGCCGTAAATTGGGAAAGCTCACATGGTAAGTTCAATGGAACCGTTTATCGAGAGCTGTTGATAGTCATTGCTTGCTTGGATAGAACTGGAACAAAAACTCTCACAAGTTGTAGTTCGACAAAGCTGCTGGCCTTACGTCATCTAGTTTGATTAACTTGAAATCATCTTCTTGTGTGACGTGCCAACACTTGCGTCTGTGTCCGGAGCTAGGTGACCTGTTACGGCGAGAAGTCCGCTATGCAGGTTGAGGCGACACTCCTTTGTTGGGAATGTCCGTGGCTTCCACACTACATCGAAGCACAAAGCGGGGTGGGAAAGTCGACTCGACGCATATGGACTGGCTCTTCAGATCTCAGGGATGATAGAACCTTGGAAGTGATCGGCATGCAAGCAGGCACATAACCGACGTTTCAAGCTGACAATGCAGCTACCCACGCCCAATAGGTTGCGCCACTAGAATGTAACTCCAATCAGAAAAACTGCTGCTATCACGATGCATGATAGTACGAGAAATCTCTTTGGGCGTCGGTTTCGAGGAGTACAACCTGCGCCCGGCTTACGTTGCGCACGCCGGTTCCTTTGTCTGCTTACCTCCTCTTCTCTGCTCACCGACTTGACGTTGATGCTCCTGTGAGACGAGCCAATTCTCCTGCACATGCTCCAGCCCGCTTCAATGCCATGGCTCCATCATGGCGCATAAAAAGTAGCTTCATCTTCAGCCTTGCTGCCGTCGTCTTCTTCCAGCCTCGCCTGATAGCAGCGCAATGCGACATCCCGCCTCTGACACTCACCTGGTCGAACATCACCGTCACACAGGACGGCCTCGGTGTCGCACGTGGCATTGAACTTGGTATCGGGACTCCGCACCAGATCTTTGCTTTCCGACCGTCCACTACGCTCAACAACACGCGGATCAACAATGTTATCAACTGTGGATCTGCGACCAACGACAGCTGCATTGGTGGTCTAGGTGGTGCTTTCGATGCGCCAAAGTCGACATCGTATGCGGTTTCGATCAAGAGCCAATGGAATGGCAGCCAAGTCGACGCTGAAGACAGTACCGGTGCATACGTCTACTTCAACGATGATGTCGCGTTTCAGGAAAATGGCGATGTCGACGGCTTTCCATTGGTCATGGATAGTGAAGTCTGGGGAGGTGAGGATCCCTCAATGCGTCTCGTCCAATGCGGGCCGTCGAGCTATGAATGAAGCTGACTGATAGCAGGTGTGCAATCTGGTCTACCTCTCGGAACCAACTCCTCCTTCCTCCGCGCTGCAGTCGCTGGTGGTGTCGCGCCATCTCAGGTATTCGGTCTTTGGAGTGGTAGCAGGGGTATCGATCCACATGACGGTCTGCTCGTTGTGGGAGGATATGATCGCGCGCGGGTTGACCCTGCATCCAACTTTACCACTTTCCCGATCGGCGAATGGAACCTCGAGCGGGCCTGCCCTCTACAGGTAACGGTCACAAACCTAACGTATCAGGATATACCGCTCATACCAGACGGAAGCGATGGACTGATTGCTTGCATTGAGCCATCGACGCAGCGCTTCGTCTTTCCTCCAGCAATTGCGCAGGCCTTTGGAAACTCCACGCACCAGAATGAGACCGTATATCCGGGAAAGATGCATTACAACGTCTCGAATCGTCCCGGCGGCGATCTCATTGTAACATTGGCAGGCGGCTATCAGTCCAGGATACCTAACAAGGAATTGTTCGCGCCACTACGCGGATCTGACGAGTACGGCCGGTATGCCATCACCAACGACAGCACACTCGAAGCCTTCGTGTCGGATACGCGACAAGATGATCCAGGCGATGTTGACAGTATCCTGGGAGGGCTCTTCTTGACCTTCAACTATCTTTTAGTAGATTACGCGAAAAGCGAGTTCCAACTTGCGCCAGCTGTCGCAGCCAATGCGGAAAACGTGTCGCCAAACCCTACCACAATCTGCACACCTACCAACATCACGCCCGTGAGCCCGACTCCGATAGCGAAAAATAAATCGACCAATAAAGGTGCGATCGCAGGTGGTGTTGTGGGAGGTGTTGCTGGACTGGCCCTGCTTGGAGCCATGGGCTTCCTACTGTTCAGGCGGAACCGCCGAGCCAAGAACCCTGCTGTCAGCGAGATCGATGGGCAAACAATTGAACCAGTATCGCGGCAGCCGTCAGAGATGATGGCGCATGAAGTTACACCTGTGCATGAGATGTCTGCGAGTCGATACGCAAGTTTCCGAAAGCCCGAAGGGAGGGGATGGCATTGAGCGTAGCCGTGGCCGTGAGAAAAGGGGAGGCGGGCAGATCCGCTTCGGCTGTGTAATGACATAGTTCTACACTAAATTCCTGGGCGCTATCTCGAGCAGTCCATTGTTCGCCCAAGTCGCCCTTATCATTCCATCATGCTTTCGTTCTCTCATGGCAAAAGTTTCGCTTTCCTAGTCGGCTCATACACGGGAACCTTCATAGGTACCACATCGCTGTCGCGACAATAGCCCACTTCTGCCCACCTCAGCCAGCCCGCATACGTCCCATTGGCGCAGTTGCTGCCATGATGTTTTCTCCAAAGCATACCGAGAGTGTCGCCTCCGAACAGCTTCGCCGAGAACCCGTGCCCAAGCTTCAAACACCAGCTATCCGCCACTACCTTCTCCACGATACGCCTCGCAAGTGCTTGATCGTCTGTCTCAATCTCGCTCTCCTTGGGTAATCGAAGGCTCAGAAGATCAAATTGCCTCTGGCCACTCCATCCAGTCATCTGCTCATGTGCGAATGCCCCGTCCATCATGCTGAGCAGCCAGCACTTCTCTCTGACATACTTCGGCCCGTCCCATCCATCCTCTTCATCCACCCAGCCTTGCGCCGATCCCATGCATTGGATCTGAATCGCGTAGTCGGTCATGGCTTCGTCGTTGATCACCATCTTCTCCTGTCCTTCTTCTTCTACAACAACCTCTTGTGGCACACGCATGAGAGAGACGTGGGACACCATTGGATGCGCATGTGTGCCGATCGTGTTGGTCTTGCCTTCCCAGACCTGGAGCAAGATGTGATGTGCGCGTTGCACGAGCGGGTTGCCCGCTCGACACATGAGCGAGAAATTTACAATCTGCGGCTCATCTGCTCCCAGTGTGAAGCCGGCGAAGTCGTAAGGCGAATCTGGGTTGGTGATGTGTTCAGTCCAGAGACGATCTAGGTCGCCGAATTGAAGGATGCCAACATCAAGATACACACCACCGTACTTCAACAGGAGCGGATAGCGGATGAGATCTGAGGTGTGTTGTGCAGCATACTGTCCGTCCAGGGTGCCGTTTGTGAATGCCGCCGGTACAATCGAGGAGGACTTGGTGTCGATGTAGTTGCCCACATTTAGTGCAGAATTTGGCACGTTGTCAAGGACATAGATAGTCCATCCTAGTGGTGAGAAGCGGCGGTACCAAGCAAGGACGTTGCGTAGTAGGACGGGTGGGATCGTTCGGATGCCAGAATGCCAGAAGGCGAATATGGACTTTGAGTCAACAAGAGGTGGCTTCGGCGACAAGAGCTCTTCGGGTAGAGGCCCTTCTGTTGAAATAGGCTCAAGAACCTTGGACGGAATCTTTGAAGTTCCCGGAATAAACGGGTAATCCATGATTCGGCTTAATCGTAGACGGTCGATCTTGATCTTTGAATTATTCTCTTTGTTGATAGGGAACTGCATCGTGAATGCCAGTACAAATTTAGTGATATTTATCGGGAAAGGTACGCAGGTGTCACCGTTCGCCGTCCAATGGTCATTTCGACTCATACACGCTAATCTACGCGTGACGTCATCGTGCATATATTTACTCTCCAGCGTCTTGCGAAGCATCACAACGTGGTGTCGCGACATTATCACATGTTATTTGCTTGAGCAGACACCTCTGAGTAAGAGCGGTCATTCTCTGCACTCTGATCTGACCAGGAGCATGACTACCACCAGCACACGACAATGTGTACCGTATCGACGAAAGAGCCCAAGAGCCAACTCGTGTATGGTGCAAGATGATCGGATATCATGCGCTGACGATTAATAAATTGGCTGGGGACAGGCTTGAGTCTCAAATATTCGGTCGCTGTCTTGTCTACGCCAGTCTGTGGGGGAATTGACCACATGCGTTGGGTAAGCTCATTAGAGCAACGAACAACACTCAAGGCTCTAGAGAACGCACAGCAGGTGCAGACACGGTAACTTGGTCATTTTGGGGAGAAATTAGACTCGCTTGTTCTCACAGTCGTCACCGCGCCATCGAATCGCGACTTCCGTTTACCGCCAAGCACGCGACCAAATGTGCTGAGTCTAGACTGCTACCTTCACTGCCAGACTATCGTCCTCCATCGACACACCATCAACATGCAGCAACCCAAATCCGCTCTCTCGCCCCTTCCCGACATCGTGCGCGGCCCATCCGCACCGCCGCGACTACCACTTCGCCCTTCCCCACCACCGCCTGCTCCAGACTTCCTCGTCATCGGCTTGTTCGCCCTGCGACTCACCAAGCGGCTGATCGAAAGCCTCGAGTACTATCCCGGTCGTGATGCCGACATCATCTGGCTCGTTAACTTCCTCTCGCCCTTCCACAACGAATACGAACTAGCCAAGATCTCAGGTGCTCGGAGAGATGACTACCTCGCGACGTATCAGAGCATTGTCTCACGGATGAAGAAGCAGCCAAAATACCCTATGCGATTCATGCAGATGAATCCAGATCAATCGGCGCAGCCAACAAGGCGAGGAAGCGAGATGGAGCGACCGAGGGACATGTCCGATGGTGAGTAAATCGCACATGGGCTATCTCTGGAGAAATGTACTGATGCAGACTAGTTGAGCGACTGGAGGTCATCAACTTCTGCGATGCAGCAGGAGAGTGGGGATCAATCCTCCCGATACCAGCGCGTGAAGCAGAGAGAATGGTCGAACTGGCTGACCGAAGGAAAATCGCCGATCTCGATGAGCCTCATCGGCAACGACCGCAGTACGAAGATAGGGAGGGGCCACGAGATCGCATGCAATCACGATCCGAAGATAGAGAGGAGCTGCTAGAGCGAAGGCACCCACGCTTCGAGCCGCATTCTTTGCCTTACGACACGAGAGGACCATTGCAAGAGGTCAGGCAGCCGGAACGCGAGGACAGATATGGACTACACAATACTGGGGTGTGGCGTGGCGACGAATACCTTCCGCCTGACGAAAGGCGGCAACCAGCGGATACGAGAAGGAGACGTCGGGTATCTTTCGCGGATGACAGGCAGTACTACAAGGTAAGAGTTTTGCATTCGCATGGGATTTGTGCACCCACTGACTTGAGTAGGATGAACGCCGTTAAGAAGATGTGAGATGGCGCAAGCGTTAAGACTTGAGTAACCAGGTGTGCGCTGGAATGTTGGTTTCCCAAGACGAAGACACGATCGTGATGAGAAGATCGTGGCGAGGGTGTCTGATCCTCTTGTTCTGAGTACTGCACATCTTGTCTACCTTGATTAGACTTGTAAAGTGTTAGCAGTGATGTGTCGAATGCGGTCATTGGATACTACCGATTGCGCAACTCATACTTTGTCTGGAAACAGTTCGTGACGTTATCGCGCGCCTTGAGATCCAAATTTTATCGCAAACCTGGCAACCCGCTCAACAGGCCAGAGGTCTAGGCGAGGACGCTCCTTCCATCTACAGCTCTTTCGGTACTGATCGTTCACTTTGGCGTTGGACTCGGAAGGGGTTCAGAGGAAGCGGTAGGCGCGGCCTTTTGCATGATAGGGCGCAGTCCGGTCTCTACCATGGTTTGCATCCCTCGCTTGAACGAACCTGACAGTCGAAAAGTCGTCTACGATAGATTTTGAGCTTATTTCAACGTTCCAGAACAACTTCTTTTGCCAGGACATTAAATCAGAACCGAAACAATTTCCAAGGACGGCATAGCGTGACTACCGCTGCGAAGCACGATCAGCTACCTCCAACCGCGCGAAGAGACCGCTCACCTGGAAGATGGCGCTCCGCGACCCTGCGAGCACTGATATCGTCGACTATTGTATACGTGGCGAGTCTAACCACCTCTATGAAGAACCAGATGTCGACGAAGACATCGTGTATCGCATTATTCCCGGAGATGTAGTGACGGACGAAGAACTGGACATATGCGCTGGCAACTTCTCTTCTGATTACGGCGTGTGGAGTTGGAGAGCGCATCTTGAAATGGGGATGATGGCCGAGTATGGTAAGTCCTCCGGTATTATTGGAGCGTGTAGGTCGGCAGCCAAGGACGCATCGCTGACTTTGGTGTAGGCAAACCAATACATATGAGTCGCGTAAGACTAAGAGCTCAGTGTCTACCTGAGGGTGCGAACAATATCCTAGTGACGGTTGTTACTAAAGACGATCGGCACGTTGGGCACTGCTTCGTGAGCCAGTGGATGCATGGGGACGATCGAGTGTGGTGGATAACACAACTGCTCGTGGTCAAACGCTATCGCAATCAGAGACGAGCTACACGAGTGAGCATCTATCACGTATCTTGGTTAAGAATTTGCAACTAACATATAGTAGATGCTACAAGCCCTGGCCATGCACTACGATATCGGCAGATCTACTCAGAGAGATCTTGTCGGAATAGCAACAGTGAGCCCGTATAGTCTTTGCGCTATTCTTCGCGTTTTTGGCCGCGGTATCGAAGTACTGCCTTCGAAGCCTGACTGGGAGAAATGTCGCATTCGCCACACGCCTCTGCTCAGTTCCACATGTGAGCCTATAGTTGGCGCTGCACCAATCAGCTATATCCGCAATGCCAAACTATCACGGGGGAAGTTGATCGCGAATACAGGGTTCTTTGTAGATCACGCTACATCTGAAGAGGCGATGAAGAGAATCATACACAGTATGAACCAGCAGGTGTCCGGGCCGTGGGAGTGGTTATTCGGCTGCCTGGAACCTGGTCACGAATATGTGTGTATCCTTGAGTATTCCTACGATCAGGATTACAAGATGGATCTAGCACTCTTCGACACGCCATCGGTTCCTAATGAGCCTTGTTTGGGAAAGCACGCTGCAAGCCCGTCGAGAGCGCTGTTTAAAGCAGCTTTTGGCAGCTCCAGGCCGCCTGAGCAGAGCCCAACTCCGGTTCGATATGCTGACATCGATCGATACTTGCTCGAAGTGCCTGAGAGTTGCGTTCTCGATCTGAACCTCAGCAATCGTGCCCATGCATCCTTGCATGGCAGTATGCGCAAGCTCATCTACGAAGCCAAAGAGCTGATTGCAAAGCATTTGCGTGTGTTGCCCACCATCATGGGCGCAAAACAGATACCAAGAGACCTTCGAAGAGTCTATCAGACGGCGAATATGATCTTCCCGCTACCAGGACAGATACAGACGTGGGGAGATTTTGTGCCGTACGTATATGAGGTCTTCGAACACGGCATTAACGCTGAAGCTCGCATGTTGATCCTGCAGGCGATTCATTTCCAGGAGCTCCGTGAGACCGATGAGAGGGAACAAAAAGAGAGAGCGAAGAATGCCTCGGCATTAGCCAAAACGACCAGGTCGAAAGAGAAAAAACGGTCGTTGATGGACACGAAGGGGAAGCCTGGGATTGAACCGTTAGCATACGCCCCATACTCCCTGAAAGACGAAAACGAGGAACGATCCGCAAAACCGCGAACAAAGCGTAAGCTCACGCCGACAACGCCTACTAGAAAGCCTCTGGCTCCGAAGTCTCAAGGGCTGTTTGGAGCAGCCAAGGCGATAATGAACACCCCCACATCCACTCCTAGACATCGGGCAGCATCAATGTTCTCTTCCATGAGTCCCTTCCGGAAATCCAAAGAGCCAAAGTCACAGTCTCGACACTCTAGCATGGCGATGCAGGCACAGAGCCCTACACCAGCCACACCCGTGACGGCACCTGAACACGACTCCAGTCCAATCGCCCAGTCCACCGTCTGGAAGTCGGCTTCTCCGGCTCCTAACACGCCTATCTCTACAGCTTTTGTACCTCAAGGACAAGGTGAGATACATGCCGTGACGACACCACCCACAACTCCACCACCCGCTCAATTGCAGCCGAGTCTTCCACACTACATGACCCCAACCGTGGGCTCAATGCAACGGTACGAGACCCGCAGCCCTCAGCTTTTCTATTCCGATGAGTCTGATGGGTGCAGTAGGTCGAATGTTTTTGGGCGGCGTTCTCTGAAGAATAGTGCGAAGACGTTGGATCGGACGCAGTGTATGAGAGGATGAATTATAGGCTGAGTTGAAATAGATTGCGAACCATCTTAGTGGCATGGCCCTCTTGGTTGTTTGAACAATCATTGACGGGTATCAGTTTGTGAATTCCAACAAAATAAGAGGCTGGTGGACGATGCAGAGTCAGGAGCGATGCTACGGCTGAGTGTGGGGCATGACGCGTCTCGATGAGCTAGTGCGTGGAGGGCACCTTGCTTTTCTCTCTCTTCAATCGATGTACACTTCACTTTCACGATCCGCCTAGATGGCGTTCGAAATACTGTCAACACAAAGCCATCTCATTCTCTAGGCATATTACAAGACCTTAGTGTTGCGAAACCGGTCGCTCGAACTAGGTACGAGTGTGATCCACTCGCCACTCCGTATGAACGCATTCATCTATCTTACACTGACGCAAAGAAATATAGCATGGGAGCTAGTTGCAGAAACTTGATCTACGCTTACAAGGCCCAGGCAGCAATAGCGAAGACGACCGACAAGCCCATCGCCATCGAGTTCACGACCGAGACCGAAGTAGCAGCTCCGGCACCAGTACCGCTGGGGGCGGCGGTGCCAGATTGCTGAGCACTCTCGCTTTCACCGTCACTTCCGCCATTGTTACCGTTGTCACTGTTGTTACCGCCGTCGTTGTTGTTACCGCCAGTGGTAGTGTTGCCGCTTGAAGAGCCACCAGATGAAGTGCCGTTGTTAACGGGCTCCGCCGATGGCAACTCCTTCTGCTCCTTAGGGCAGCTGATGTCGAAGCGCGGGGTGGTGGAGAGGTTGTCGGAGACGGCGAACTTCACCTTGTTCGCGGGGTTGGCGTCGCGGAGTGTGTACCAGAAGACGTTCTTCTTGCCGAAGAGCGCGCAACCGACATCCTTCCAGTATGTCTCGGCGTTGTCCACAGTCGACTTGGCAGCACCAAAGTCTGGACCCTTGTATGCCCAACCGGTCTCGGTAACCCATACGTCCTTGCCTCCAGCAACACCCTCAGTTGCGCTAATAGCGCTGCTCAAGAGCTTGCCAGCGTTGTCAATCTTGTTGTCCAGCTCGGACTCGTAGAAGGGGAAAGCGTTAACAGCCAAGAAGTCGATCTCGTCGATGACAGCCGCGTTGGACTCGTTGACCCAAGCAGTCCAGGTGTCGACGTGGGTGATCTTGACATCCTTAAGAGGAGTGTCGGCAAGACGCTCGCGCGCGGCCTTGATAAACTCGACAATCTTCTCGGCGCTGTTACCGACACCGGCCTTGTTCCGGATGCCGGGCTCAGACACGCGGTACAGGTCTTCGGAACCGACCGACAGTCCAATTACGAGATCCGTCAGCTTGGTGCCGTACTCTTCGACGGCAGAGTTCAACGCCTTCAGCTCGTTGTCGATGTCGTCGGTTCCCGAGGCCCAGATACCGAGGAGGAGCTTGGAGTTGGTCTTGATGGCAGCAGGGAAGGCGGCGATGGGAGTGTCGGTCGTCTGCCACTGGATGTTGGAGTACAGGCGGATGGCGGTGAAGTCGCCCGGCGCGCCCTCGAGGTTCTGCGCTGTGGTGAACTCCTTCTCAAAGTCGGCCTGTGTCTTGGCCTTGCCAGTGTCGTCCGAGGCTCCCGAGTTGAAGCCCAGGACAAAGTCTTGGGCAAGGGCGCCGCTGACGGTGGCCGCCGCGACGGCAAGCGCTGATACGAAACGCATTGTTGGTAAAGTGGATTAAGGGAGCGACTGTAGTTGAAAAGTTGAAAAAGATGCAAGAAGAAAGGTGTCAGAGAGTGTGGAGAGAGTGTGGAGAGTGAGATTATTCAAAGAGAGCAGGGCAAACCCCCGTATAGGTTCGTGCAAACACGCGCTGGCGATCATTCACGAGCGGATTACCCCGTAATTGCGCTCTCGGCGTCCGGGGCTGTGTGATTGGCCGGCCGGTCGCACCGCGCTGCCATCAGCCTCAGCTGGGCCTTGGCGCCAAGAATGGCAAGTGAGCCGTCCCTCTTCGTTTGGTGAGTCTTTGGTGCACAGCCACGCGCCTGAAACGGCGCGTAGAATGAAAGCGTTTCGGAAGCTTTTGGACGTCACGTCATAATAGGCTATCCTCCTATCGTCCCCAGGCTCTGGCGCTTCTTATTCCCGCAGCACGTACTAACCCGACATCATGTCTACAAAGCCAATACATGGATCTTTGAACGAAGACATTCGCTCCAAGGACGCACCAGACATCAGCATCAGTCCTGCAGGCTATGCCAGCACCTATCGCATACTGCTACGACTCAGCCGTTGTACGACCCTCATCGCAGCTGACATGTGTTACGATGCAGTTGGGATACCCATACCTACCTACGAGCGTGTTCATCCAGAGTCTGCTCAGGTGAGGATGGTGAGTAATCGACAGAGAGAGAGAGTTCAATAAACATGGAGCACGTCAAGCAAACGCCATGCCACCGGAACAATCCCGGAATGCCTGAAGTCTTGTGCTGAGCTGTGCCTCGAATATGTTGGAACATCCCCCTCTTCAACGTTACACAATCTCGCTCCATGATGTAGCGAAACAGCTGCTTACATGGTAACACGCGGTATAGCTTATGCCAGAATCATCTAGGATGCGCTGTTCTAACAGCCGTGCATTCCGCTAGGATACAACACTGGCTTACATTGCCCAAATATCACTGCATAGTATACCATGCGTCTCCTAATATAGACCCCATAACTTCCTGCCTGAATAGTAATCGTTCACCCAGTCCATCTAAGCGATCTTCCCGAACGGTAGTCGGTCATCAAGGATTCAGATAACCGATCACCTGGATTAGGATCTCAGAACGCCACATTAATCTATAAACTCTGCTTTTCGCTGCTTATCAGGATTATGCGAACCGGACAAGAGAACTGCCTGTTGGAAGTGGGGTCCAACTGATGCACGCAGGGGACAAATCATGGCCATTGGAGCACTCGTCACCATGGGATTGCTTGATGGGGACTAGATTGCTACATACAAGGCTTGTGGTGTGCGGAACTATGCCGTGGGAACGACAACAGCGACCGAGGATACCTCCCTTGATTTCGTTCCTTGTGAAGCCATCAACATGACTAGCAGATGTAGTTACAGACTATATGAGCCGTTAAACATACACTGACTACCATTTGCTGTTTCGAGACTAGCATTGTGTGAAGGACCTGAAGGACGATTTGAAGGGCCGTGATGTTCCAGCACGCGGACTAGGACGTCTGTGCCACTTCCCCGCTTGAGTGCTCGCTGTGCGACATCAGGTAAGCAGGCTTCGTTGGGCGGAGTCGAGATGTTCAAAGTGATGGGTAAGCGCTGAGATGAGATTGAAGACCTGTAGATTGGAGTCCTGGAGTGGCACAAGCGCGCTGAGACTACACGACTACTCGCATCACACCGGTCACTACCCAGGTACGTACCAAGAGCCACGGCTGGTTGAGCCTTAACCTGTTGTCTATATGTGACTCGTCCCTGACGTAACAACAGACCCTTCCAACCGGAATACCAGCCTCAGATGTCCCGGACAATGTGTCTGACACCCGCTGTACCCGTTGTACAGACACAACATCCACCTAGCGTGGTGGAAAATTGTAGAACAAGAGCCCGAAATTACGCGCTGGGAAACGCCACTCCATGCCAACCCCAGCGGATAGTCAGTTGGCTGGTACAGATATACATGCGAGGTTACACTGCATTGCAGAAGTTTCCTCGGGAATGTACATGTACAAGCTATGAACGGAGGTGCAGTTACGACACTACGTCGTTTGGCTTACACATCATATTCGTACGCGCTGAGAGATGAAGGAAGTCTCGAGAGAATTTAGAGCACGTGTGGCTTTCTGAGGCCGGTATTGTAGTGGAATCAATACTAAACCAGTGGGCAGTAGAGGGGCGAAGTATGAAGGTGGGGGCTGTACGACATGTTGATGCTGACTTGTTTTGAAATATTACCCCAGCCACATAGTGATGATAGCGAGCGCCGCAGTGGATGGATTATGACCGTCAGTCCACGCGTGCAAGTACAGGCGGTTGACGGCCACTGGTATCACTGTCAAGTAGAGCATAACACTGGTGCGAAGATAGGGTAAGAAGATCTTGGAAGAATCGAGAACCGGCGTATATTATCCTGTTCGAGCATTGGCCTCTCAGGTAGCCTCCGCTGCAGATGGAGCCGAATTATCATCAACATCCATCGCTCGCAGTTTAGCCTCCACGGCCGCCACGACCTGTGAATCGAAATGCTCCCCCTTTTCAGGTTTCCTGACACTGTGATATGTTAGCGATAGATGCTTGTGATTTCCTGGAAATGTATCCTCACGGTGATCTTGTACACTTGTCGCATCTCTCATGCCCACATCCAGGACACTGCGGCGAGTTATTGTGGAACAGGCCATTGCACTTCTCACACTGCCAGCGCACCCTAGTCCTCGGCTTTCGCCAGGTCCGTCTGAATTTCTCCAACTGTTTCTCCACCTCCGTCTCGCTGTCAGGCTCAGCATCGCCCGGGTAGCCATCAGGCCATTTGCTGAGCTTGGCTGGCTCGCGTGGGCATTTCGTACATCGGACATGCTGGCACGAATTGCAGACATTTGCCGTTGCGGGAACGAACAAATTCTCACACACATGACAGTTACGTCTGATGCGTTGTCTCGCAGGTTGATATACCAGCTCGTCGCCGCCACGAGTCCGGATGGTGAGCATTCTCTTTCGCTTGGGTTGCTCCATACCCTCTTTCTCGGCTTGCTTCTCTTCCGGCGTCTTCTTCTTAGGGAAACGAGGGCACTTCTTGCACCGCTTGTGCTCGCATTGCAGGCACACCTTGTCGGAGCCGTAAAGGGTTCCGCAGCGGTGGCAGCTGCGATGTACACGCATACGGATCGATTTCTCGACACGCTGGACGGTGGGTTTTGGAGCTGGTGCAGCGATCCACTCGTGTGACTCAAGGGTGAGGCCGTACTTGGCGAACAAAGCGCGGGCTCTCTCCTGCTGCATGGCGTTGCGGTCCATCTCCTTGGTAGTTGGAGTTGATGGCACTGACACGGCGGGAGTGATATGTCTTGTTAAATTAGTACGCATGTTTTCAACGACACGGCGTTATAAAACTCACGTGGCAGGTGCGACTTCCGGGATGGTTTGGTCCGGCTGCGCAACTTCCTTCTCGACAGGCTGTTGCTGCGCGACTTGAGGAGTTGACGATGCCTCGGGCGCCAGGGTCGGTACACTTTTGTTTGATTTCTCCCTCTTGAACACAGTGCTCATCCGCTTCACATATTTGCCCAGGGTGCCGCGTTCCGCATTCTTGCCCTTGTCCACCGCTCCAGTATCTGTTGGTGTCGTCATGGTTGGCGTCGCAAAGATGTGTATGCGAAATGGAGATGCAACAAAGGGGCGCTGCTAACTTATGAATAGAGTTGGCCTGGACCCGAACACATGCGATCCGGTGACGAGGTTGCGCCGTTGAAAGTCAGCCCTGCATGCAACTCAACTAAAAATCCCTGGAGTCTGGCCACTGGAACGTGTCGGGACACCGAAGGTTTGGTAGGCGGCAATCTATTCGACGGCCAAGGACAACCCTGAGAAGTGTAAACTGGCGTACTGGCAGTTTTAACCGTTTGTCAAAGCTGGGCGGCGAGACCTGGCGATGGCGATGTGACGAAAGGTGGCGGTCCACAAGTTATGTATGTATGCGCACAGCGATGCGCATCAGACCATGACCCGGCTTCCCAGTGCGCTGGAATCGACCCCGAACTACACAAGCGTGGCTGAGAAAAAGCGCGAGCCGTTCGTTACAAAAGCGGACAATATCAGGGCACTGCCTGCTGGACTGGATGCTGCTTCTGCGGCTGACTACGGCGAGGGACGTTTTATCGCTGGGAAAACCGCCGGGGAAGGCGAATAGCAACGAGCAGTCCAGGGCTCAGGTTGTGCACAGGGAACAGTCGCACACGACGGCTGCATGCATTCTGGCTGCAACCGAGCCTGCGTCGCTGTTTGGTGCCCACGGCTCGATGTCTGCTGCGGGATCGCGGCGGCGCTGCGTCCGTTCCAGGCATCGATCAGTCGGCTTGCCAGCGGCCACCATGACGGAACGAGGGCCTGCGCCGCTCCGCGGAACATTGTGCCCGCATCCTGGGGGCCTCCACCCACCACGGGTTGGCAGGGCTCAGGAGCCTCTGAACCCACACATCAGGTCGACACTGTAGCACGTTGGAACTCTGCCTCAGCAGACCCTTTCCCTTTCACCTCCCACCGGGGAACATCCAATCGACGGCTGGGCACACCCCACACGGTGCGGCGTCGCACTGTACTGTCTAGACAGCCTGACCCAACACGCTTTACCCAGCAAATGAGCGCCTGGATTCCGCGACGTATATTGCATTTATCTGCAGCGCTGGATTCAGCAAATCCATGCGCAATCACATCGCTCCATCGGTTGCATCGAACCTGCCAAGAGGCACAGTGCAGCACCTTCAGCGGCCGGCTTAGTATGCTGCAGTCGGTAATGCACTTGCAGACAATCCGCTTGCTGCGCTGGCAGCCTGGCACACACCTGGGCACGTCGGCCGTTTCGTCCTGGAGATGAAGAAGCCAAGCGACGATGTCATCGACGCTGCAAGAGGTGCTGTACCGCCGAAATTCTCGCCGCCGGTGGGCTTTTGGGCATGTATGCAGCTCTACCCATGGGCTGGATCGGGGCTTACTGCGGACAGTTGGGAAGCCATGGTGCCATATCGAGGCTGGCAACGACGACTTCCCAAGTGCAGCGCCGATCCGTGCTGTTTCAACCAGCCCATGCCATCGGTGGAGAAGCTTAGGTAACTATGGCTGGCCCGATGACCTGGGTGGTGTGGGGATCACGCCCCTCTTCGCTTGCCGCTCGAAGAGTCGGCAGCAGCAAGCTTTCATTAGCAGTCGAGCCGAACTCTAACTTTCCCTCCCCGGTGGTTTCTGCGTCTTCTATCGACAGCCCATCATTCCCTTCCAGGTGTCTTCTACTGCACGCACGTGCGGGCGTGTACCGCGCGCGCGAGCAATCAACGGCAACTTCCGCCGCCGGCCGAGCCGGCATCACCGCTGCTGGCCGCCGTTGCTGCCCTTATCGATCGCAGTATTCCAGCATTAACATGCCTCGGGCCCCGCGCGACGCGTACTAACTCTAGACGATTGCGACATTCCAATGCGACGTCGAAGCCGCTCTGCATCTCGGTGCACATTGCCGAAATTGCGTCCCATGTAGGCGCTTCGTGAGATTGACATGGCCTTTGTCTGGCGGAGGCTCGAAATCATTAGGTTTGAGTGAAATGGCATGTTGTTGATGCACCATATTACAGAAGTCCCAACAACAGAAAGGCCTAGCAATTCCGATATCATGACACGGAGCGCGGCACAGGTCCATCAGCTACGCATTGCAATACGCCGCAATCCTCTAATACTAGAAGCCCTCAACATCACATATGCTTCCTCTAGTTCGACTCAGTCTTCACGAGATCCTGTCACATGGGAAAATTGCTGGAACAGACCCATCAGACGTCTCACGATAAGCAACTTCCCCTCAAAGCCAAGCGTGATCGACTTCAGAAGGAGCAGACAACCTTGCGAACAAATGAATACTAAACATCAAACCCGGGTATAATTATTGTTACGCTCCATCGTGAGGCTACAACACTCGTCTACCGACGTCGCCTCGCTGTGCAAGATTTGTTGCAGGGTCTCTGAAACGCCAACAAGTACCGTGGTGGAGATGGCGGTACGGCAAAGCTTGACTCAGTCGTCTGGCCAGAACATCACCGTAAGAGTAAGTTAGGGGGTAGGTCCCCGTGCGCCGCGCAGCGCTCAGTCCTCTTCCGCCTCCGCACCATTCCGTCCCACCCTTTCCCGGTGTTTTGGGTTGCAACGGTTGGGTGTTGAGCTCGCTTTCGGAAGCTGCTATAGGAAGATCATCCAGCGTATCGCTCGAACGGGCAGGGTCTGTCACCGAGGCTCCCGGAAGGGTGACGCGTGCTCGGAACCGCCCATCTCCGCTGTGCAAGGCGTGGAGGATTGAATGGCTCGCAGAGTACTCGGAGATGTGACTTTATGGAAGCATCACCGGCTGGACGCTACGACTTCGGTCAATATTCGACATGCTTATATCTCGTCACCTTCCGTAGCAATAATATCGAATTCCATGATTACGAGTCTCACATTAGGTTCCAGGGAGTCATCGCGCTATTCCACTTGTATTCTGATAACATGAGCAACCAATAGAGCAATCAAGAGAAGACAACAATGAGATGATCGGAAATACAAAATGACCAACATCTTCGACGATGGTGACACATACGGGGTACAGGTAGGCATTGTCATGAAAGATATTTCCTATGTATGATTCATTAGACCACTTTTCAATATTCGATCTTTGTGGTCACGACTTCAAGGGACCCATATCGTAGCAATTCCAACACACAAAGGCTTCGCAGCTTACACTGAGACGGTTTCGGAAGAAATATAGACATCATTCAAGTCTTTTCAGCGCTAATAACGACAATAAAGGCTGAATGCCACGTAGCAGAAGGTTTGTGATGTATAAGTCTCCGGCGAAGTCGGGAATCCTGCCGCAATCGACTTGAGCATGCCCCTCGTCACGAGCCGTATACCACCTAGCTACAGATCATGACGCTGACATGGTAGAAGCCATAGCTCCTTCGTCTTCGCTTTCGAGATTCCACACGTTCTAGTACTATCTTCCGCCTTGACTTCACTCCGCTTTTATCTGGAAGACATTGGTACGGGTCCTATAATTAGTGCATAATGATAAACATGAAAAGATCCGAAGGTCTTTTATCCGTGCAGAGTAAATCAGTGCTGCGAGTGTACTGTAACTTTTAGGTGCGTTCACCGCGCCGAGCGCACGAGACCATGCTACTGCAGTCTGGAAGTGTGTTGAGAGAATCAGAAAGCACCATGGTTCGCACATTACGTTCTTTGGGTGAATCGAGTCGCCCATCGCCTTAATGCGATTATTCCCGGCATGCTTCCAGGTTGCTAGCGGAAGATTCTGATGTTCAGTCATCATGTTGAATCGTTCTTACCATAGACAGGCGCCTGTGCCAGGGTGACGGACATATTTCGGATCAAAACGATGTGGTATCGAAAAGATGACTGTATGCCCGGGCAGCAGGAAACTTTCTTCTTTGCAGCTGATTGTATGGCTTGATCTTTGGAATTGACAAGGTCGCAATCGTCACAGATCGTGCGTGAATAATTATCCTCGACAGGTTTGCAATTTGATGAGCAGGACAGCAAGGCTGGAGATAAGTATCTTAAAACATGAGGATCGAGAGGGGAAAAACCTCACATAAAACGGGCAAGGAACAGCAGTAATAAGTAATGTGAGAGATGTGAGTATAGGCAGCTAATACAGTATACACAGACCGATTGTAACGAATGCAACGCTAAATGCAAGACACCAATCCAACTCCTTTCCAACCCCACCAAGACCCATCACTCAGACAATCTACAGTCTACAATCTGCTCTCCCATCCCCTCCTTCCGTCTTCGCCCTCCCATCTCTCGGGCCAAACCTTGCCCAAAGCCTCCCAGATGTGGCCCACAAACTCAATCTTGAGACCCTGGGTAACTTCCAACGGTAGATCCCTAGCATCCTTCCGGTTGCCCTCGGGTAGGAGTACTCTTTCGACGCCCGCCCTGAGCGCTCCAATCAGCTTCTCCTTGATACCACCGACAGGCAGTACCCTTCCACGGAGGGAGATTTCACCAGTCATGGCCAGTGTAGGTGGAACAGGCTGGTTAGAGAAGAGGGAGATGAGGCCGATGGTGTGCGCAAGACCGGCACTGGGGCCGTCTTTGGGAATAGCGCCAGAGGGGCAGTGGACGTGAATGCTACGACTCTTCATAATGTCTTCGTCGTGGCTTGCACTCAAACCGAGATCAAATGCATGGGCCTTGACCCAAGTCAAAGCTACCTCTACACTCTCCTTGAGTACGTCGCCCAGCTTGCCGGTAAGCTGAACGCGGCCTGAGCCGGGCATATCTGCAATCTCGATGAACAGAATAGAGCCTTGGCCGCCGGTGCTATATGCGACTAGCCCTGTAATGACACCTGGGCGGGAAGATTGCTCAGTGAGCTCTTCGGCGAACTTCTCGATGCCGAGCGTGGTATCGAGGTCTTCCAATGTGACAACAGGGGAGTATGCTGCAAGAGTATTTGTGTCTTTCGCCGTGGCGTATTCGACGGCTTTGGAACGACAGACGGAGCCGATCTCGCGTTCGAGATTTCGCACACCGGACTCGCGTGTGTAGGATGTGATGATCTTGTCGAGCACGTCGGTCGGGATGTT